AAGAATTTATATTCCAAGTTGCAGAAGAGGAAGTTTCCCCTAATTATTTTGTTTGTAGCTCATGATAACAAGCTCTGTCAGGAGCCTCCAGGGCCTGTGTCCCCAAGGTCAGGTAGTTAGATACAAAACAAACAACACGATCATGGAGTATAGTTTCCAGGTTTGTCTATTCCTCAAGGACATCTCTATGCATCCTCTAAAATTTCTTGACAGAGGCAAAAATGACATTTATTGGTATCTTCATTAAGTCATATCTTGCAAGAGCTATCGACTATCTGACTAAAGGACTGGAAAAATTTAAACGAAAATTTCAGTTTTGAAGCAGAATATGTATGCAGCTTATTAATACTAGCAAGGAGGACCTCAAGAAAAAATACATCAGGAATATATGGCTTTTGGTGAGTTGATTCTACGTAGGGTCATCTTTTCATTCTGAAGTGAGGGATCTTGGAATCTAGCAAATTTTTGACAAGAAAAATCTATATGCGCTGACTAACAGCAATATCCACTGGCTAGTGGTTATAATCAACAGCCTAAATTCTACTTTTGTTATTCCCAGGACCATTGTCCTGAAATTGAAAATACGTCTATGTTAAGAACATTAGGGGTCATGGAAGAAATGTTAAGTGTAAGTCTTGTCCTAAAGGAGTGATATTCTTCAGGGAAAAAGCTAACACCCCCCCACACACACACACACACATACATATGCACACAGACATACACCTACCCATAAAAATAGCAAGGTTTGCCAGACCAGGCATGCTGTGATGATCTGAGGGAAAGGAAATAGAGTAAGAGAAAAGACGTTTAGATTAACCAGCAATGTTCTCCTAGACTAGCTGTGTAGTAACTCGTGAAGTGATGACACAGTGAGAGAACAAGAGGAGAGGTGCCATTTCAGAGGCATACATAGTGGAAGATTAGAAGATAGAAACGACTTGTTTTTGTACAGTAAGGACTTAAAATACCATGTGAACGAAGTCTTGAGTTGACAAAAGGATATGGTTATATAGTTCCTAGAAACATAGAAATCCAGGCTAATGAGTTCCAATTTGATTCCTTTAGTATAAAATGCCTTCCCAAACCTCTACACTATTGCATTCCAGGCTAAGTGAGAGTCAACAAAAGTTAATCTTACGGATTGGACTGTAGTGTGGCAGCATAGTTAGAAATCTTATATCCAGAAGAGTGGATAGTTGAGTACAGTGGAAATGAAGAGAGAGGTACATTTTGAATATTTCTCTTTTTTCCTTTTTTCTTGATTGGCTTTTCCACAGTCAAACATATGAGATGGCGAAAAAAGAGTCAGAAAGAACCAGATGGGGTTAGCAAAGGAAGGTACAATGAAGATTATATATCAGTGGATTAGAAATGGATACAATTGTGAATCCCAAACTGAATGAAAAATCTGAAATTAAAAGGAGTTCAGTACATAAAACCCTTTTTAAAATGACTTTCCAAATTTGTTCTGCCAACATTTTCAAAACTTGAAACTGATGCTGTTGTTTTGGAGAGCAACAGCATTAAAAAATCATGGAGGAAGGGAGCTGATATTTGTGGAGGCTTTAGCTAGATGTAGAATTTGTTCTCAGATATTTTAAAGTCAAACCTTATTTAAGATGTTCATGCTAAAAATATTAAATGACCTAGCATAGTGCTATTATCCACATTTCGTAGATGATAAAATTGAGGCTCATAAAATCAAACAATTTGCCGAAGTTACATATATAATAAATGACAAAGGGTGAATCTGAACTAATAAGAACTGTTTCCTTAAGTCCATGTTCTTTACAAAATGGCAGGATGTGATGGTGCCTTTTCTCCATCCATTCAAATTAGTCTCTTCTCTGAATGAGAAGAAAAAAAAAAAAGTTGATATTTGAGTTTTATAAGAAAAGTTTCTGACAAGAAAAAATGAATGGGATATTTATTTTCCTTTTTCTGTGCTGTGAACAAAGATGCAATTTATTCATTCAACCTCCATTATACACTCAGGTACCAAGCTAAGTTGGTTAAAAACAATACCCTATCAATTTTGATAAAGTTATCAACATAACATTACCTTAACAATTATTATCTTCCTAATGCATTTTTAGTACCTGTTTTATTTTTAAACTAATAAATATAAAATGTAGCCTGGCCCTCGAATGATTGTGAGATGGATGAGGAAGCGTTACATTCATCATCAGTGATCTTGAACTCTTCTAGGTTGTTAAGACTCCTCATAACTCTTTTACTTCAAGTTTGTGTTGAGCACAACATGTTGAACAGAACATGTGTGCTCTTCAAAAGTGGAGGTGAGGGGCCGGCCCCGTGGCTTGGTGGTTAAGTGAGCGCGCTCCAGTGCTGGCGACCCGGGTTCGGATCCCGGGCTCGCACCGACGTGCTGCTTCTCCGGCCATGCTGAGACTGCGTCCCACATACAACAACTAGAAGGATGTGCAGCTATGACATACAACTATCTACTGGGGCTTTGGGGGAAAAAATAAATAAATAAAATCTTAAAAAAAAAAAAAAAAGTGGAGGTGAAAGACTATTTATCAAAAATTTAACAAATAGCCCAAATAGTAATGAGAATGGAATGGGCACTGATAGTTGGTAATATTGATGGAAACTGAAGAAACAGCAAAGGCAGTTCAGGCAGACAGAGTGGCCTGAGTCAAGACAAGAAGCAATGTGATCAGCAGTGACGCCAATTAGAGTGGAAGATCACGCAGGCAGCAAGAGGAGAATAAAAGAATCAAACAATGCATAAAATTTAATAATAAATGCACAGTCCTCAATTTTGTCTGAAAACTTCAAGTTCAATGCCTGGGATTTGTTGCTTACTGGTTAATCATGGGCAAAGCTTGGCAAGGCAGTAAATTGACCTCACACAAATGCTTGACAACAAGCGCTCGGTTAGGCATTGTTATTAGGTATGTAGCAAGTCAAAACAGATTGCTGAGTTCATTATCTCTTAGCCTGGAAGGATATTCCTAAGAAGATATGTTTAGTTCTAGCTTCAGGATCAGCTCAGAGGGGTCAATGGTATACCCAGAACATTGAGTAGACTTTCTGGAGTATTTAGAAATCAATGTGAGGAAGAAAATGGAAACAGACACATAGATAAAACCAACACTAAAAATATGTACCTAGAGAGAAAGAGCAAGAAATTCATTTTAAATGTCTTCACATATTTGAAGGTCTATAGTGTAAAAGGGGGTTAGATTTAATTTCTGTGAACTCCGGAGATAGATTTAGATCCATTTGGACCTGGAACGTACCAGAAAATACAATAGGAAGAATACTAGTTAACGGAAATTTTCCAACACAGAATTGACTATAATGGTTACTGCTTTGTTAAGTTTCACTGACAGAGTTTGAAGAGGGATCCTCAGCTGTGAGGACAGGAGCATTAATGTAAGGAAGGGGCAGCAGAAGTATTGCTAATGAAGACTGAACACAAGGTATGTGAAAATATTCAGGAATTCTCTGCTTTTTAACTGTACCAAGTTTTGTTTTAATCTTAGTTTAGAATCTAGAACAAAGATCTACTTAGTTTCTAGTAGGTAGAACATGATCTAACAATTCCAGGAATTCTTTCCCATTCCAAGTTCTGGAACCTTTACTGATATAATGGATTCATCTAGCCTTCTTTTTTTTCTTCTTTCTAGTAGCAGATTGTATCTCAAAATTCTTAGCCTGCATGGATGTGACCCAATAAAAGAAATCTAAGTTCCTGAATTATAGAGAAGCCTTTTTGATCAATATATGTGACTAAATACACGCAGTTCAGAGAAGATCGATCCTATCTTCTAAGTGATGGAGAATATAGTTGTACAGCTGATGTTCTGTGCCTGGGATTAGTGGCAGATTTGATGACAGGTTGTTGCTTGTTACAAAAAAAGCTAAAAGTGGTGCCAGTTCACAGGTGGGTTCAAGATGGTAGCATCATATTCATTGCATCTCCACATTCATTTCTAGAATCAATTTTTTTTAGGTTTACTCGTGAAATTTCTAATATTCAAACTCCTGTTGGTTTACAAAAATAAAATATTTATATTTTTGAAATCTTACACATTTTTTCATTCCTCATTGGCCACCAAACCTAAGTATGCCACATCAGGAAAAGGTTTTGGTTATTGTTGTAAGAGATATTTCTTTTTTAGTACTATTTTTTGTGTGTTTTATAATCACTGATAAATAAATAGGGTTTTTTTTCTTTTTAATACAATATGCAATTCCAATTGACTGTATAACCAACAAAAGATAGTCAATGTGAAACTTTCAAGAACATATCCAAAACATTTCCTCAGAAGACAGTTTTAAATCATTGAGCATTTGGAGCCTTATAAATGAACATATGGTGGGCATGTAATTGAGAGAACATAGTTATCTGTGGAATTTTTCACCAGACCACTTAATGATCTTCTTAAGTAGATGTTCTGTGTCTCCTTGATATTGAAATATACTTAGAATACATAAATATTCAATATATCAATACAGAATTGTGAATAACTGATGATAACATTTTTTCCCCAAAGAAATTTACTATTTTTTTTCTTTATATATTAAAAGTGTTTAATCTTCCCAAGGCCACTTCTGCCATGATCGTATGACTACTGTGATCTGCTCAATGTTTTTCTCATTTTGCTCTATGTCTCCTTTGATCTCGTATAATTATACTTTATCATGGGGTATTCAATGCTTTAAGTATCACACACATTCATGGATCACATATAAAATATCACTACTGATAAATACTATTTTTTTCTTGTTTTCTAGATGAGAAACTAAAGTACTGAATGATAAAGCTAATTGTCCAGAATCAAAAAGTCAGTAAGTTGTCAATTAAGACTTCAAAGTGGATCAGAACACTCAACAGCGCACGCTGACCGCATTGCCTTCACTAGTTTATGTTGAGCATTGCTGGGTTCCTCCTACTCCACCTTCTTAAATTCTGCTGCTCAATTTTCTTTTCTTTTCCTTTATTTATTTATTTTTTAAAATCAAAAGCCATGATACTGGATGAGGGAAATCAGAGCTCTGTGACCACGTTCGTCCTCCTGGGCTTCTCAGAATACACACACCTCCAGGCGCCCCTCTTCCTGGTTTTCTTAACCATCTACACAGTCACTATGGTGGGGAACCTGGTCATAATTGTGGTCATAAAGATCAATCCCAAACTCCACACCCCCATGTACTTTTTTCTCAGCCATCTATCCTTTTTGGATATTTGTTATTCCAGTGTATTTACACCCAAACTTCTAGAAATCTTGGTCATGGAAGACAGAACAATCTCCTTTAAAGGATGCATGGCACAATATTTCTTTGGCTGCACATTTGTGATTACAGAAATGTTCATGTTAGCAGTGATGGCCTATGACCGGTTCGTGGCTGTTTGTAACCCCCTTCTGTACACAGTTGCCATGTCTCATAAACTCTGCACCCTCCTTGTAGCTGGAACCTACACATGCGGTGGAATATGTTCTTTGACAATCACATATTCTCTTTTGGATCTATCTTTCTGTGGTTCTAACATAATCAATCACTTCGGCTGTGAGTATTCTGCCATCCTCTTTTTATCCTGTTCTGACCCCAACTTCAGTCAGATGACATGTTTAGTCATTTCTATATTCAGTGAGACTTGTAGCCTCCTGATTATCCTCTCCTCCTACATTGTCATAGTTGTCACAATCATCAAAATGCCTTCTACTGGTGGACTCCGAAAAGCCTTCTCCACCTGTGCTTCCCACCTGACTGCCATCACCATTTTCCACGGGATCATCCTTCTCCTCTACTGTGTGCCCAACTCCAAAAGCTCATGGCTCCTGATTAAAGTGGGCACTGTGTTTTATACTGTCATGATCCCCTTGCTGAACCCTCTTATCTACAGCCTTAGGAACAAAGATGTGAAAGAGACAGTCAGGAAATTAATCAACTCCAAACTGCTTTCTCACTCAATGTAATTAAAATTAATATATGTATTTATGTCCTACTTATGTCCAATAACTTTTCATATATATTGCTGATGCCAGTTTACCTTTATTTTAAGTAAATATATGATTATATTTTAAGTCAAGTAAATATTGCACTTTTCACATTTTTCAGTGACCAGGATGCTCTGGATTAATATAGAAATAATCCATTTTGATGCACTCCATCTTGGCTGGTTTCAGAAATAAATATATTTCAAAATCTCCCAGTTAGACACTGTAGAAGTCAGGATGATGAAGAAGGGATATATATTTAGAAACTCAATACTTATGTTATAACTTAAGTTGTGTTTTATAAAAGTGCTGCAAATACAGATGAGAACTGTCTTTATTGGATCTGTATCAGGTTTTCATAACCAACTCTTTTGACTCAGAAAGTTTCTATAAAACACAACTTTTTGTTCCTCTCAAAACTTAATTTTTTCCAAGTAAAATGAGGGAGTTTGCATTATGAGAAATACTATCTGACTTTAAGCAAGTAGATGCTGAAAATATTAACTATTCTCTATGTGCATCACTTGTTTGTGAGTCTCAATGTAATATATTATAGTTCAATAAAAGATGTTGAAAATAAGAGTGAATAATAAAAAAAGTCTAATTTATTCTATCAACACGTATCCATTAATCATTGATAAAAGACCAAGATTAATAAAACATACTTTTTGCTCATCCGCTCTCAGCAATAAACTTTTCCTGCCTACCAATTTTCTCCATGTAGGTACATGACACCCACATCTACTCAGCTGCTTAAACAAAGCAAAGGAGAAATCATTATTTATTATTCCATAGCTTCTGTCAAATATCTGTCAGTAAGTTATGTTGGTTCTATCTCCAAAACAGAGCTATGTCTCCTTATCTCTGCTGTCTGAGCCAAAATTATCATTAAGTTGGTTTTTAGCAATTAATACCTAATTAACATTCTTCCCATATTTCTTAAACTTATATAAGTGTGACTCTCAGATTACTCAGTGATTTTTTAAAAACATAAAATCAATTTATTTCACTCCCCAGCTTAGAATTGGGCAATAGTTTTCTATGATGTTTATGATGAAAATCTAACTCTTTGCAAAATGTAACATCTGCCTAATTCTCTGACTTCATCTTTTTAAATTTAAAACATACTAAAATATTTTTTTTTAAACAAACATCCGTGTAACTCCCAAGTAGATCAACACATAGAACATGACCAGTACCCCAGAGTCAACGACTAGCTCTTTCCTAACACTCTCAACAGGATACAAAAGGATGACTTTTGTTATAATGATACACTTGTTTTTCTATATAGATTCAACATCTAACCACGCCTCTCAAAAAATACAAAACAATGTTCCTTCTTTGCAAACTTTATGTGAAGGAAATCATGCATTATGCATTCCATATATCTGACTTTCATAAATGAACATTGTGTCTTTACAAATCAGTCATGTTGTTGCATACATTTATAGATTTTCAATTTTGTTTCTATTTAATATTTTGTGGAATAAATATTTCAGATTTTTTCTTTAATCCAGTCTACCATGGTGGACACTTGGGAATCTTCAATTCTGAGGTATGTATACCATTATACTGCACATAAATAGTCATTAGAATGGGGTTTATACTTAGAAGTAATATGCATTTATTTACTTTTCAATATTTCAACCGATTGTATCAATTTAGACTTCTAAAAGCAATGTTTGAAAGTTATAAATTTATGATTCCCTTCCTCGCCAGTGTTCAGTATTATTAGAAGTTATGATTTTACACATTTACTTGGTATAGAATATTTGATTTATAGTTTTAATTTGAATATTTATGATTTTTGAGATTAGGCACATTTTAATACTTTTATGGATTTTTCTCTTTTTTAAAATGTGTTTGTGTGGCATTTACCAATCTTCCTTTCAATTATTTGTCTTTATTCTTATTTATGTGAAAATTTATTTCATATTGTGACTATAATTCCCTTGGCCATTACGTATCTTGAAATATTTTTGTGTTTTGGCTTTACTTTTCACTCAACGTCCTTTGATAAAGAGCAAGTTTGAACTTTAACTTGGTCAAATATATTACCTTTGTAATGTTTTTGTAATTGTTTAAGATGATATTTAACTACCCTTAAGGTCTGGAAGCCATTTGTCTTTATTATATTCAAGAATGTTTGTTGTCCTTCATATTTTGCTCTATGAGTCGCCTAACATTCATTTTTGTGGAAGCCGTGAGGTTTGGATCTGTGATAGATTGTTTTATTTGTTCAACATTATTTATCCTCTCTTCATCCTTGTCATGCTTCTCTGTAGGCAGAGAGAGAATAATTCCCATTGACTTTCTTGGTACAATGGAAAGTTAATGAATTTGCTGTAAGTTACATCACAGAAGCAGCTTTAATTGTCCTTGCATGATTTTTTTTTTGTGTGTGTGAGGAAGATCAGCCCTGAGCTAGCATCCATGCTAATCCTCCTCTTTTTGCTGAGGAAGACTGGCTCTGAGCTAACATCTATTGCCAATCCTTCTCCTTTTTTTTTCCCCAAAGCCCCAGTAGATAGTTGTATGTCATAGTTGCACATCCTTCTAGTTGCTGTATGTGGGGCGCGGCCCCAGCATGGCCGGAGAAGCGGTGCGTTGGTGCGCGCCCGGGATCCTAACCCGCGCTGCCAGTAGCGGAGCACGCACTTAACCGCTAAGTCACTGGGCTGGCCCATGTCCCTGCATGCTTTCAATCTATCCTTCTTGAGCTTATGCATTTAACTTGGAAAAAAGCATGCCACAAATAGTGAGTCTCTTTCAACCTGGATCCTGAATGAGAAAACATGGGAATTTAGCAATACTTAGCCAAACAAAGAAATGAAAAGATAATCCATGCTTTTGGATTGGAAGAATTAACATAGTTAAAATGCTCATAGTTCCTAAAGCAATCTGCAGATTCAGTGCAATCCGTATCAAATTTCCAAGAACATATTTCACAGAAATAGAACAAAGAATGTTAAAACTTATATGGAACAACAAAAGACCCAAAACAGCCAAAAGAATCCCGAGAAAAAAGAAAAAAAGCCAGAGATATCATACTCTCTGATTTCAAAATATACTACAAAGCTATAGTAACCAAAACAGCATAGTACTGGCACAAAAATAGACACGCAGATCAATGGAACAGAATTGAGAGCCCAGAGATAAACCCACATGTCTATGGACAGTTAATTTTTAACACAGGGGCCAAGATCATACAATGGACAAAAGAAAGTCTTTTCAATAAACGGTGTTGGGAAAACTGGACAGCTACATGCAAAAGAAAGAAAGTGGACCACTACCTTACACCATACACAAAAACTAGCTCAAAATGGGTAAAAGACGTGAACATAACTTGTTGCCTTTCTCTTGCAGCTTTTAGTTTCTCTCTTTATCTTTAATTCTTGATATTTTAATTATATTGTGTCTTGCTATGGTCCTCTTTGGGTTTATTTTTTTTGCTGTCTCTGAGCTTCCTGTACCTGGATGTCTGTTTCCTTCCTTAGGTTAGGAAAATGTTCAGCTATTATTTCTTTAGATTCTCTGCCCCTTTGTGTCTCTCTTCTCCTTCTGGGACACCTATAACATGGATGTTAGTACACTTGATGTTGTCCCAGAGGTCCCTTGGACTGTCCTCATTCTTTTAAATTCTGTTTTCTTTTCTTTGATTAGCTTGGATGATTTCTTCTAGTCTTTTGTCCACCTCACTGATCTGTTCTTCTGTATCATCTACTCTGCTCTTGATTCCCTCCAGTGAATTTTTCATTTGCATTATTGTATTCTTCAGGTCTGATTGGTTCTTTTTTATATTTTCCAATTCTTTGTTGAAGTTCTCACTGTGTTCATCTATTCTTCTCCCAAGATCAGTGAGTACCATTATGACTATTGGCTTGTAGTCTTTATCAGGTAGATGTTTATCTCTGTTTCATTTAGTTTTTTTCCAAGGATTTGTCCTATTCCCTTATTTGGAACATATTTCTTTGTCACCTCATTTTACCTATTTCTCCACACTTATATCTATGTATTAGGTAGATCAGCTACTTTTCCTGATCTTGGAGAAGTGGCCTTATGTAAGAGATGTCTTGTGAGGCCCAGCAATGTGCTTCCCTCTTGTCACCAGTTCCAAATGTCCCAAGAGTGTCCCTTGTGTGGGCTATATGTGTCCTTCTGTTGTGGCAGGGTTGCCCTTACTGCAGGTGCATGGGAAGGCTAGGCTGTCCCCCTGGCTGGATGGATTTAAGGCTTAGCTGCACGCGGTTGCGTGGTCCCTTCAGTCACTTTATTTGGTGGGAGAAGCCCCAGTACAGGTGGCTGCAAGGTATAATAGCATATACCTGCTGCTGTTTTATTATTAAGTGAGTGGGCCCCCAGCATGGCTGGTTGCTAGGCTCAGGGGCTCACAGTTGCTGTAGGCCTCCAGCCTGTGAAGCTGTTGTCAGCTCTCTCAGGATTGCTGCTGGATGGGGCTGGCCCCAGGGGTGACAGCAACCAGTTGTTTCAGGCTTTGGAAGCTGGGGCATTTCCAATATGTGTCTGTTTGAGATGCACAAGTTTGCTGCAGCTGACAAGCCGCACCACCCACAGGTGCAGGGTGCAGAGGTCAGTGGTAGGGAGCAGATGCAGTGTAGAACTCACGCCAATCCCAGTGGGAAAATAACAGTGCAGACCCCTGGTATTCTGGAGCAAGGCCATGTCATCTAAAATAAATAATTCTATGCCCTGTGATAAATAGCCTCTGCTGTGTTGGGGTTCCTGGTAAAGTCTGGCAAGGGTTAGTCAGGTTGTCAGGGAAAGTATAAGTGGATCTAATAGGGTGATATTTGGATGTAGTAGATTGGTTTACATCTAGTGGTTTTAGAGAGTTAAACATGGTTCCAAAATTCATTTGCCACTTTTAAGAATGTATGGACACAAAGAAATTATATTATTCAATTGTAGTAATATGAGCTTGGAAGAGTAGATTGCCTATATTTGTAAGAAAATGCAAA